CTGAGGGAGACACGGGGAGTGTGTGCCCTCCCGATCTGCACGTGGGGTAAGGGTGGGCTGGGGGTGGGGGTGCTGCTGGGCTCTTCCTGGCAGGGGGATTGGGTCAGGGTAGGTGGTGGTGCTGGTGAGGGAGGGATTGTGGGGGCTGTGGCTAATTCTGGGGTGTCTGTAGCCTACCTTGTACCCCAGTCTGCAGCAGCAGTGGCAGCCTGCCTTCACCCCGCACGCACATCCAAGGGCGCACATGTACCCCATGTCTTCCCTGGGAATATGCACAGTGGCAGCAGCCATCCTCCTCCCCCTGCACCCCCACAGACAAGCAGTCAGCTTTGTCCCCTGCCCCAGCTGGGCAGCTCCTGCCCCTGCCCCAATCCCAGCCCCACTCCCTCCCTCGTTGCAGGGGCCTTAATGTGTTCTCCCACTCCTTTTACCCCACCTAACAGACTTACCAGCAGAACGCTGCTCTCCAAGATGCTGGGCTGCATATCAGCAATCATTCTCAGTATCAGCCGATATGGCTCGTTAATAATCGGCCATCTGTATCGGCCCAAAAAATCTTTATTGGTGCACTCCTGTTGAAGATTGGGTCATAAGCATCTTTTAAGTTGGGTGGTCAGAAGGTAGAAGCCAGCTTTGAAAACCTTGGTTTCTAGGCATTTAAGCACATTCCCCCAAATACCTGTTTCTGAGATTGTCAAAATTTTACCCATGGTCATTGTCTTCTATGTGAGACAGATTGGAGGAATACGAACTGACAGAAGAAAATGAGTATGGTTGGGATACTGGCCATCCAGTGCAGGATTCTGATTAGATGGACCTTTTACAGTGTGTTGGATATGTACTGGTAGTATAGTGTTTGGTCCTTGTACACAAGTCTTGCACAAATAATTCTGTGTTAAGATGAGGGTGGGAGAAAGGCAAGGCTCATTTGAGACTGCTCTTGCAAATATCTCTCTTCACACCTCGGAGTGAATGGCAGTTAGAAATTGCCACTTCCCAGTTGCCAGTTTTTTTTTCTCAGCATTTTCTGACCTTTTCCCAGTTTTACCTGCTACTGCAAACATTTAAACATCTACCTTTTATGAAAGAAACTGAATTGAAATGCTGTTGAAACAGGTCTCTTTTGAAAGAGCAAATTGGCTCCTGGGATAAAAGGCCAAAGGATAGGGCCTAGGTAGCCCATGGATCCTCATTTTTTAATTAAAAAAAGAAAGAATCGGGGAATAGAAAAATCTTCAGTAAATACTGGTGTTTTCCTAAGATGGTGGTTTTCTACCCTTTTCAAGTCATGGCACCCCTCCCCAACTTTTCTGAATTCAGCGACGCTCCTGGTTCAGAACCGCTGTTGCTGCTGTCCCAGTTTACCTCCGCGGTTCTCAGCTGGGTGCTGCTGCCACCAGGTAAAACTGCCTTGTATGCAAGGCACCGGGAAGGGAGAGAGCACTTGTGCCGCTGCCCGTCTCACGAGTGTGTTCTGATAGGTCTCTAAAGCGGGCAGGAGAGCCCACTTGTGCTAGAGCTCTTCCTGGTCTGACCTGCACAGCGTCTCCCAGAAAGGTGCATGGTGTGGATGGAACTGTCCCGTGTGTTCTTGTTTCTGGGAGGAGTATGTGTGGAGCGGGGACTGCTGAGAGGAAGAAAGGGCTGGGGCACAAGCTGGCTTTTCTGCCTGCTTTAGTGTGATCCGAGAACCCACATAAGAGCGTGCATGTGCCACAGACCTCCCGGTGTGAAAGACACTTTTACCTAGCTGCCGTTGTGGTAGTGGTGGCATCCCTGGGGGGGAGGAGGGGGTCTTGTGGCACACTGGTTGCGAACTGTTGTACTGGGATCTGTTTTTCGTAGTGGAAGGATGTTATGTAAAGACCATATTATCTTCTAAAGCATTGTTCTTTTTTTTGAACATGCACACTGAATAGTGCTACCTGCTGTCACGTCAGATAAAACAGCAGTTTCCATGTTCTTTCTTGTTTTATATAAAAATTACATTTTTTTGAGGGGGGCGGGAAAATTAAACTCCTTTGTTTACCTTTTTGGAACATGATTACTCTTTAAAAGGACAGTTTTGAAGCAGCACAGCTTCTGTTTAAATAATAACAGTACCCAATAGCTCCTCCTCCTCCC